ACTCAGTCTGTTTCACTTTCAAGGCCACGCCTTTCCCTGCAGGATGGTGTTTGTAGACCAGACATAGCTTCTTCCCATAACAAATCAGATTCTTTCACAAGGTTTATTCATTACATGTTACTGTTTAACCAAAGTGTCTGTAATTTGTTTCAACTCCGACTACTTTCCATTGTTGTAAGTAAGGGAGAACGAACGCTGTCCAGGGTAGAATGCTGTGCCATAAGGGCTGCATGATGAACTGTTCCCTCTTTGCAAAGATATGAATAAATGTGCCGACTGAGTGAAATCCATCAATCTCTGTTTATTTAACTAGGATGAATAGTTGAATACTTTTTTCCCACTACAGGTTTCAAAAGGGTGGTGTAAATGGGGTATAAAAAGATGAAGCTGTAGCAGAGCTCCTTCAGTAGCAGACTGACACTTTCTTGGTGCACAAAGTAGTTTCAAAAACAACATCCATATAATATCTAGATGGTGCAGAATAACAGTATTATTACTGACCAAAAATATAGTATAATGGTTTTACAAATTAGAACGGATCCAAAATATGCAAATATTTAGTTCTAGTTACAAGGAAAAATGTTGGGGAAAAAAAGAATTCTGCACCAACGGGAAAAGCAGGTTGAAGTCAGGTGAGACGGAGCTCAGATATTGCCAGATGCTGGTGGGTCTGTGATTGAACTGAGAAATGGTTTCTCTGTGTTATATTTCTAAGACTCAAACACAAAAACATTAAAGGAGCAAAATGAAAAGTGAACATCAGTCAAGCTTAAGTCCTGGTGCCAACTAAAGAAAAAGGGCTCATAAGCAATGCTGAGGTTCCTGCTTTTCTTCTGTAAAACCAAACTGCTAATGCCAAAAAAATCAGTTTTTAGCGACCTGACAACCTGCTGGCAAAAAGTACGAAATGAAAGCAGAAGATCGGGCTATTTACTGGCTGGGAGGAGAATTCAAATTAAAATTTAAAAATCACCTAATACAGTGGCTCATTACTACAGAAATTAGCATTTATAATATTTTCGTTAGGGTTTAATTTTGCTCCTACTGTAGTTTCATATTCTTAGTTTTCAGTTTTTATATTTCTTATATTCTTGTGTGAAATCAGATTCCCTTTCACTTTGCTGCTGGTACAGCTAAATGTTTGACAGTAAAGACTTTTTTTAAGCCGTCTGCTTTAAAGGAGAACACCGTTTTCTTTTTTACATTGGCTCCTGGATTTCACATTATTACATCATGTTCTACTCACCCATATTAGTTTTGTGTAATTTGGAGCTGTTCTGAAGATATTCGGTTTTGTAATATCCAAGTAACGTCTTCCTATGGGCAACAAGTTGAAGGCACAAACTAAACTGTTCATTATTTATTCTTTATGGTATCAAGGGGCCAATGTAAAAAAAAAACAAACAAAAAAAAACAGTTGATATATTATTCAAACTAAATTGCTTAACTTCCTAGATGACAAACATTGTCCTTTTTCATTCGATTTGACTTGTGCAAACAGTCATCTGAGCAAATATTATTAGGAAGGAGAAACAATAAAGGGACTTCAACAAAGTGTATAAAGAAGCTGTAATTCATTTTAATTAGCATTGCAGTATTGCATTGAGAGAAGTGGTTACCGTTTGGGCAAACCGACCCAGATCCCAAAAGAACCACAAATCACACAACAGATCCATGCCCTTCTGACTTAAAATGAAAACATGGTTATTGATTACAGTTCTTACTTTGAAAGATTTCCTCTGGCGGCTTTTTATTGTTCTGTACCTGCCCAGTTTCAGAGAACTGCCACCAAAATACCAGCTGCTGGCATCAAATACCCACAATGTTCTAAATCATTAAGTCAAACTTTTACTTTTTATTCCAAGTGTCAAATAGAATATAGAAAGTTAGATTAAATACATCATCAAAAAATCACAAGACATGTCATGTTTTGAGATAATGGTTAACGTGGTTAACCATTATCTCAAGCAAAAATGCAATGAAGAAATAAAAATTAAAATAAAAAAAAAGGCAGAGGAACAGAAATCAGATTTTAAGTAAAGAGGAAAAAAGCAGTCAAAGTCCAAACAAACCAGATTTCAAAATCTCTTTCTAATTATAATTATTAAATTTTATGTGCAACTCTTGATATTTAATCAAAACGTCAATAGTTTTAGAACAATAAAAATAAACCAAATGCATATTTCTCTCCATGGCATCTGGATGAGCTTTATTTTATCCTTTTTTTGTTTTCCAGGTATAAGACAGGGAAACTTAAACTTAAGCTAAATAACTCAACAGGTTATCTATAAATTAATCAATATACGTTTTTTTTTTACCCTTTAAAAATGCAAAGTGTTGTTAGAGATAGATAACCTGCAAGACGTTTTTTTTCTTAATTAGTGGAAAAGCCGTGATAAGTAGAGATATTTTAATCTTCCTATTGACCCATATTTTGCTTCTAGTGACACTAAAGGACGCAGTTTGTTAAATATAAACTAGATTATATTAGCATATTTGAAAACACAAACAAAGGGTCCACCGCCCCTTTTATGACGCCACTTTGCCTTTTAACACAAACTAACCAGCTAATGTAGTGACTTTAAAGTTTTAGCTAAAGAATATCTCGGCAGAATGCAGCCTTTGTGTGAACACCGAACAATCACCTACCTGCATGTTGGTGCCGTGAAGCTAACAGACGCTTTCAGTTGCTGTTGAATTCGGGTCCCATCAAAACTTTCAGCTGTCGGAGAACCGACGACAGAAGCTCCATCGACTGAATGCAGCCTAACCACAGTCAACACTGAATACAATCACAGCAGCAGCAGCAGGAAAGCGGCTTAACGCGTGACTTAAATCACCCGAAGAGGCTCACGGGTAATTGAGTTTTTACAGCCGTTACATTCCAAGTAACAAACTAAGAGGGAAACAAAGCCTTGCAAATAAATGCCCTGAAAAAACAGCTTTATATCATATTTTTTATTATAAAATGAATGCATCCTGATGCCTACAAAGCACAGGCAGGTTTAAGCAAAAGCTTCTGTTTTTTGTTTATGACGCCTTTACGTTTTTGCAGTCATAAACGGAAGTCATGTGATCCACGGAAAAGGCCGAACGTTTCCGGTTTATCGCGGCGTTTTGAAGTGGATCTGCTCCGTCGCATTTAGCCGGAGGTTGACCTGGCTGAAACGGTGAACTGAGCAGGAGGGTATTTACACCTCATTCCGTTTGTCTTCAAGCGCGCATTTTAATCTAAAATATGTATTTATAATTATATCTTAATTAGTTATTTTAGTGAATACAGATTAAAAATAGAACACTATTTAGAAATAAAAGATTCTAGACTTGTGCTGACATCATATACTTAAAAAAATACACTTTACAAAAATACATTAAAAATGAATCTAACCTTCCGAATTTAAAGGTGTTTTAAAAATCCTCCATCATGATATTCTGGGATTTAGCCAATAGAAAAAGAATTGCTTTGATCACAGCCTTCTAAGTGTAAATGGATAAAATTAATTCAGAAAATTCAGAAAAATCCACTAAGCTTTCATTCATTTTTGGTTAGTGTTTATATCTTGGTATAAAATTATTATATAATTATATTATAGAGCTATAAAAAAAATTTTAAACTATGTTCATATTTGCAGAGAAAAATAAGCAAAATAAAATAGATTGCCTCCTGAAGTTGGGATCCCACTAAAAGGTAAACATAAGAAAAAAGAAAATCAAAAACTATCTTTGCACCTATATGGGAAAAGTTTGTTAAATAAAACTTAAAACTCAAATTCTGCATAGGACAGTGGCTGAAAATCCCCCTAGAAGTATACAACACACATAACAGTGTTGTCATAATGTGTTTTATAAGGGTTGCATAATCACTAATTAGGGTATGAGAGAAAATGATTGTGCACCGTGGCAAATCAAAGTTTGGAAAGCTAATGAACTAAAAGCAAAAATAGAAAAAATCAGCATCATAAAATATCTTTCCCAGCAAAAAGCAGATTATTTAAACTACAAAAACCCATCATGTGATCTTTATTATCATTTTATACAGTACAACCCGACTCTGCACTGTCAATGGAAACATTACATGTACTGGTTGAGTTGCTTTTCTCAGTATATCCAGACGGCACCTGTAAACGGTTTACATGTAAAAAAATACAAAACTAGATGCCACTTATTTACAAGTAAAAGAAAAAAAACTGAAAAAAACATAACAATGGAGTTTCATAAAGCTATAGTACCTTTTGGTAAAAATAAACAACTAAAAAAGGCAGCAAGAAATGAACTTCAAGGAGCTGCTGCAGCACGTCCAGAAATGGGTGATATGTTTTCTAAAACGGGTATAAAAACAGAACTTTACAGATTTACGGTCCAGTGTCTGCTTCTTTGAGCTACATCAGTGCACTTGGCACAGTCCAGTGGGAATGTCCTTTGGAGAAATAAAATGTCCAGAACAGGCTAATGTCGAGTTAAATCCAAATGGTTTAAGGCATGCAGTCACATTGCTAGAGAAACTTTAACATAATTAAATCTGTTGGAGCGCTTCCCCTGTGTAAGGATGAATCTGAACCCCAACGAAGCACTGATTTCCTCTTTTCATCAATACAAAACTGACATCATCTGGTTTGTTATCAGAAAACAATGGGAATCACACCAAACATCATTTAGTACAGTAGTTGTGCTTTAGGTTCACACATTAAGAGGAAGGGGCAGATCATCAAACAGGGTTCCTTCACATTTTAAAGCTCAAAATCCAAACACCTCAAAAATTTAAGCAATAATATGTGATGCTACTGGGTGCAAATTTTTACATTTGTTTTTTCAAATCAATTAATGCTCCCAAACTGGGCTAAAAAAAAAAGGATAACCTGATAATCCTCCATCATTAGGTCATTAAACACATTAAAAGCCCAAGTATTTTGCAGATATTTGTCATGCATTTAATTATATTATCTCACATAATCTTAAGATAATTGATTCTAAGCCTGATAAAAGCATTTTTTTTCATAAATTCAAGAATCCTGGACCTCAAGCTCCTTTAATCACATCAACCTCACTTTCTTGAGGTTATTTATCATCAAAAAAATCATGCACCAATTCTTATATATGACAATTATCTCATGATCTTGAGCTTCATAACCACTGTGCAATTATTCTCAGATAAGACACAAAGATCCTTAATTTTTCACTCAAAGTTTAGAGACAATAAAGAAAAAGCCCTTTATGACCCAACAACAGTTAAATTAGGAAAAAAATAATATGATGAAGGCTTTTAAGCAAATAAGGGTTTATAGTTTCATACCTAATTTGTTAACTCAGTGTCTTGAGCAAATATTTATGATAAGCTACCAACTTCAAGCCCCGTTCCCTGCAATATTTTATCCTGACATGTATGAATGTTAAGCTTTTTTAATCACTTTACCATTTTGACCACATCATCTTAAGGTAATATGATCCTGAGCTATCTTTTGTGAAAAATAATAAAATGTTCCTCAAATCTCGATATAAGAGGTCAAATTCTATTGTTACAAACGGATCCTTCGGTGTCATGATAGCGATAGCGAACAGGAGAGATGGTACAACAATAAAACTATTTATAGGTTACCATAAATACAAACGTCTTATCAGAAGGAAGTTAAATCTCCTTTTAAATATCGGTTTAGGTTCAGGTTTTGTTATTTTCTATAAATCTATTAAACATGGTATGTTTGAAAACAACTAATCTAGATCTAATGGTGATGTTTTATTATTTAAAAAAAAAAGAATATTACGGATATTCAGACTTATTTTACCTATCCAGATTTATTAAAATGTTTAAAACAAGTTTCATTTGTTTCCATAATTTGTAAATTGCGTGAAGGAACCCTGTTTTGACAGCATAGTAGACCTGCTTGATAAGCAATCAGCAGTACAGATAGAGACATTTCCTCTAAACAACAGAAAAAAACTAATAAACAATCAGTCTTACATTTTACTTTCTTTTCCCTCTTATGAATACCATGAAAATAAAGATTTTTAATGTGCAAAAATACAACAGACATGTTCTATCTGCAAATGCCGGTTGCAGACATGAGCCAATATCTGTCGTGGAGTTTTTTCAAAGAAAATGATTTATAAAAGCAGGGAATAAAACAAGAGGAAAAGTAAACAGTTTAACACTAGAGGATGACACAGCAGCAGGTTAAAATGGAATTTAAAGCAGGAAAAAAGCTCAGCATCTAGTTTTTTTATCGACTATCTTTTCACCCCTAAAACACACACAGACACACACACATATATTCAGGTGCTTCCTCTGAATTCATGCACTCAAACTCTCAGAAAGTGCTGCAATTGTGCACATTTACATTGTCATCTACACTAGATAAGCGTTAAGGCAACCAAAATGACCTTTAGGCTCCTTCAGAGGACAAGACCACAGCAGAAACCCTGATCTGGTGTGAATTACAGCAGACCAAACAGATGCAATGACTCCGTTTGGATGGCCGGATATGAGAGAACTGCAGATCTGAAGGCCAGTTAACAAAAAGCTTCTATCAGAACTGACCACAGGAGGGCGCTATCGGGTTTTTTCAGACTTGTTGAAGAAAAACTTGGGCTTATTGGCAGATAAATTACCTTTGAACCAACACAAGTTGACAGAATGAATTTTTGAAAATGCTCAGTTTAATAAATAACCTCTCAATTTTTATTCATGGAGTCAGATTTGCTCGATTGTTCTGTTGATTGCTTTTCTGTTAATATTCAAACTTATAGTAACCTTGTTGATCCTTACTGATTATAATTCAGGCATTTTCTGTAAAAAAAAAAACTGTGCAGAAATGTGCGAAAAAGTAGCTTAATACCGAAGAAAAAACATCCATTAACTCCCAGAAAACCAGAGAATATGTTAATGCAGATGACTCTAAAATGTTACAGCACATTCTGGGAGGTTTAGAAGTAAATCAAAAGTTCAATTTGGGTTGGAATTTTTTGGACAGAACTTTGAAAGTGTGTTTTGATGCCAAAAGAATTCAATCTACTTGAACTGAGTTGAAACTAATTTAAAAAAAGCATTTTTGTCATTTCTCTTCCACTTTAAAGTTCTGTTCTGCTTTTGGTTTGGTTTGTTATGGAAAAACCTACATAAATATCATCATGTTTGTTGCTCTAATACCACAAAATGTGGAGAAGAATGGAGATAAAACTAGAAAATCAGAGTTTCTTCAAACATCCTCCAGAAAAGCGGTTTCTATTACATTCTGTACTTTTCCTCCTCTTTGCTGTCAGACACTGGATTGAGCAGAGAAACTGGCACGTTTAGCTCCTGGTTTACTTTTTATATCCACTATAAAGACAGCTCTGCCTGTTTGAGGATGAGGAAAGCTGGGAGCCAAACCCCCATCTGTACAGACTTGTTATAAGAGTCACATTGAGAGGTCCAATCAAAAACAATCAGGTGCTACAATTAGTCTAAAGGCATCACAGAAGTAACCATCCACTGAAATAAAAACAGATTTTACACTCTTGAAAGAATAAAAGAGGTCCAGCGAAAGAATATACTAAATATTGATCTGATGAGTACTTCCTTTAGGCACGGTGTTCCCCTGTTGTGTCTGACGCCACCAGCTGTGACATAAAGGGGAACCACGAATCCCTTTAAATCCTCAACAGATACAATCCTTAGAGGGTCTGCAGGGTGAGGCCTTCGTTCCAGCGTCTCCGGGGTTTTTTTTTTTTTTTTAAAAAGGAGTGCATACAGATAGTGGCCATGATATTTCGTTTCCAGCTTCCTCTCTACTCTCCACTGTTTATACTGGAGTCCACAGTGCTGCAGCTTTCTTCATAAGATGGAGGAGGTTCTGAAACACAGAAGCAAAGAGGGCGACAATCAGCCAAAGACTGAAGGGTTTATGAGTTATGGATGGATGGATGTACTGGTGGACAAATATGGTGTCAGATAACTGTAAATAAACATTAGGGCAGCAAATAACGATTATTTTTCCAAATCGATTAATCTGTCAATACATTTTCAATTAATTGATTAATAATCGGATAGCAAAAAGGTTCCTTAAAGAAGATTTTTTTACAAAATCAAACCAGGGGAAACTAAAAGGTTTCCACTGCAGGAGTTCTGATGGAACATATTAACAGAAGAACAAATGCAAAATCTTTAGATATTTTTCAATTTTGATATAACTGCTGCTCTATGTGGGTCGCTCTGTATGCTAAAGGCTTGTTTTAGAGTATCTAAACTCCAGTTAACGATTAATCGATTACTAAATTAGTTGACAATTATTTCAATAATCGATTAATCATGATTAATATGATTAATTGTTTCAGCCCTAATGAACTGGTATGTGTAGATGTCTGAATTTGTCAATAAAAATTCAATATTTTAAATGTGGAGTGCCTTGAGATGACTTGTGTTTTGAATTGGCGCTATATAAATGAACTGAATTAAATTGAATTAAATAAATATAGGATTTGTGCATGTTTCTTGTAGTCAACTCATAAAAACATGACATTAGATCTTCATCTATGAGAGAACAAGTTTAACATTTATGAAAACAGGTTAGGGTTAGAAGCTCAAATCTTAAATTCCCCAAACAATAAACATGGATCACAATTTTACATATGACTCACAAATCTCATAAATGTGTAATTCCTATTTGTTAACTCCTGATTTGTGCTTGTAAATCTGTGAATTTGTTATTTGTACTGGTATTGTAGCAAAGTTGTAACTCTAATTTATATTCATATCGTGTAAACTTTGCCACAGGCAAGCGGCGAAGTAATGCATACTGTGCTTCACCATAATACTGCTGTGTGTGTAGCCCTGGGCAGCTTTTTAATCTCTGATGCGATTTTCCTTCACACTACACAATGATTGAACTTTTCCACATTTGAGGGGGTCAGATTTTAAAAATGCTGTGAAAAAAATAAAAATAAAGAACTGACAGCGTGGCTACAAAGTTAGTTAATGCTTTTTTTTCCTTCATAGAGGAAAGTAATAAACTGGGCTTCCCTGCGATGTCACTTGTTATTTTATTGTTCAAATAGGATCAATATTTTATTTTTTCTCTATTTTCTGTCCTTCTCAACCCTTCTTGTAGCTAAATGATCCAGTTTATTGTTTTATTGATTGTTTATGTCCCAGTCTCCCATCCCATGCTCTGTGTGATTCCAACAGGACAAACCTGATTGTTTCCTCTTGGAATTGACAGATTTTATTTAGTATTTTCCCCTAAAGTGGATGTGTTTTTTACTTTATAATTGCTTCTCTCTTCCTGTCAGACCCATGAAATATCCGCTGAATTGCTGTGTAGTCCGACTAAAATAGACCAGTCAGAGCTACGCAAGCCCCTAGCAGGGAACCATGTCAGGTGTGTTCATCTCTATTCACTGTCAATGTGAGCGGAGCATCACAACCTCTTAAAACACAGTTTTCTGTCAGATTGGATGCAAAATCATGTTTGTTGTATTCAGTGCTTATGGACCCCAAAAATGGCGCCTGTTAAGAGACACGGTTAGTTGCTGACTTCATACTCAAGACCAACAGTCAGGAAGTAGAAGATGGAGAGAATTCAACATTAATGAACCAATGGTACTGAAGGGGAGAAAGTAAGAAGATGACCTGCACCGTATACAGGAAAAAATGTATAAATCAGACCACTAATTGACAGAACGCCTTATAAAATGGCATATTAATTAAAGGATAGAAAGATCAATGGACAAACTGACTGGTGTCCTGGAAAAATTAAGGAGGGACAGATGGACAGGGAGAAGGCAGCCTGAAAACTTGGTGGATAAATGGAGAGACTGACATCTAACTGAAAGGATGGATGGGTTTTTAGTTGCTCACCGTGAGGGTAGTCAGAGCTGCTGTATTCTGGGGGAAGGATGAGAGAACAGGAGGTGGGGATTGGATTTACATCTCCCTCTGTGAAGAAAGGTATGGTGGCTCCAGTGGACAAGCAGAAGAGCGGAGCAGATGCATCGGGGCGCCTGCAAGGTGGCATCGCTGCGCCCGGGGCGTGGCTGAAGGCGCTGGGCGACATGGTGACAGGTTGACCTGAGGGATCCTGCTGTGAGTGGCTTTTGGTGGGAAGCTCCTCGCTGGTGTACCCTCCGGCGCAAAGCCCGCCCTCTGGATCCTCCTCGACCGGCGGGGCGCTGGGCATCACTCCGGCAGCGCACGGTACCGGCGCCAAGGCGGGAGTGGTGGCTATAGACCTGGCTGGGGACAAGTTGACGGGGATGTTTCCGATGAAGATCGGCAAAATGACGACTGCTTCTGGAGACTTTAGGGACACCTGGAACACAAAGTGATTCAGAGAGAAGAAGTTAAAACTCCAGACTGTTTAGGTTTATTTCAGAGTTAGAAGTTTAATGGAGAACATGGTGAACTTTAATACATTTATTATTTCACACCCAAAAGCAAAGTACAAACCTTACTCAGCAGCTTGTAGCAGTGATCTCTCAAAGAATCTTTTGTCTGATTTTATCTCACCTTTGAGGAGGAATTTTATTTTTCACCACTTTAAACCAACATTAAGTTAACTTTTCAACCTTTATAAAATATCTTCATAACTTTATGCGTCAACTTACAACTAGTTGAATGACACCTCTGTCATGACGCGAGGGCGTCTGCATCACTTTCACCAGCACTAAGCAACTCTGAGGAGGGGGGCAGTAACCCCGCCACACTAAACAATTACAAATGTGCAGCCTGCTTTACGGATTAGGTGATTTCCTCCTTTCCTTATTCTTTATAAAGACGAAAGTCGATGGGACTAAAATTCTCTATGAATTTGTATATTGTTTATTCCGGTTGAATTTCAGGCGGCACCTTCCTGTTGGGATCTAACGTGTGTTTACTGAGAAATCATGAAACTTAACATTATATTTATCTTTTTCAAGGCTCTCAGCGGTGAGTGAATACGGTACAAAACTAAAGTTAACTGTTTCTTACCGACATTGTTTCATCGCAGTTACATTAATTACCTCATCGCTGTTCATCTTTCACAGCTACTGGAAACAGAAATGTAGTTTATTCCAACTGCAGGTGACTGGGTGATCCGGATTTTACACTGCTATGGTCTTTACCA